GTGAAAATTAAAGACTGCAGTGTTTTATATAAAGTACACTAGTGTGTTGCTGCTAATCTGAAAGTGTATTCATATGATGCAAGTGTGTATCATTTTGTCATCAGAGTGACATTTTGACAAAGGATTGTTAGGTTTTGATAGCAGAGTTTCAATTCGACATAGATGTGAATGGTTTATTTCCCAGTGTTGTGTCTTGTGTGCTTGTGTGTAAAGTTTTGACACAATGAGCCGAAGTTTTGCAAAAAGTGTTCAAGCAATAGGCAAAAACTGTAAATATATGTATATGTAACTGGACTGGATGCTTTCAATGATTGAACTGTCTGCCACCAACTGAACTGTACTGCTCAAACTATTTCAAATATAGTGAATTAAGCTTCAAACTCGATCATAATGCACAATGTTTCCATCTAACATGTATTTTGAGGTGCAGCTCGTCATATTAATGGCGTGTTTAACTGGTTAAGAGGACACATAGGATGAATATAGAGATACCGTTTTCACTGATTCAGGATTAACAGAACTTCGGATAGTTTCCATGCACTTCAAAATCAAGAAAAGAGAGATTTAGAGCCAGCACATTTTTGTTTATGTATGTGAAAGTCAGCGAGCAGGAAACACAAATGAATTAAGTTATATTTTCCTATATTCTCTTTGGAGTAGTCAAACAATCCAAAGAAAACATATTTAAAACAGAGAGAATTGTCACTTGCAAAATGAGACTGGATGAACATTAAAAATGTCAACCTAGCCTACAAAGCTACCTGAACAACTGCGCAACTGCGTTAATTCTAAACGCAACGGATGCTCACACCAAATGTTGATTTGGTTAAGTTAACAGAAGTTAATTGATAAATAAAATCTATTTATGGCATTACTTTTGAAAGCATCCTAACTTTACAGCATTTTTACACAAGTGGCTAAAACTCACAGTAGCTTTGCAGGAAGGTTTCTTCAAGCGTCTTGGAGACGTTGCCACGGTTCTTCTGGATTTAGTCTATTTCAGTTTGTTCTGTTTCTTCATCTCACTGGATTGTTACAAATAATGGCAAAAGGAATGTTTCGAAATGTAAACTGATATTTCCTACTGACACACTATGACAAAAGATAGAAATAACTGACTTAAAACCATTTTTTTGTGTGTGTGTGTGAGAGTGTGTGTGTGTGTGTGTGTGTGTGAGTGAGTGAGTGAGTGAGTGAGTGAGTGAGTGAGTGTAAGAAACCGCTGACCGATGCGATGGCCACTGGGACTGATCAGTATTGATCATTTTTACAGCTTTGCATATAAAGATGCAGGAAATGAAAAAGAGACATAAAGAAGTGTCAGGTTGCTGTTCATGAGTTTGTTGAGACCAGATAGAGCTAATATAACATCAAGGGTGTTTGAAACGTTGCTATGTGATTGCCTAAATGTTTTGAGTGGTTGCTAGGGCATCGTGTGGTTGCTAGGGTTTTTTTTTTTTGGCATTGGCCTTATCACCTCTAATTGTTTTGAACAAATCACACATTTCAAGCAGCCCAGAGAAAGTCCGTTTAATTTTTTTCTGTGATTTTTCACACAGTCAGGTCACATATCTGTGATATGTGAATCATAGCTAATTTATTTCAACCGTATCTTTCTTCTTCATGAAAGTACATCCAGAACTTTGACTTGATCTTTTGAGCGATTAAATTAAGCAATAAAGTCTCCTGCATTTAAAAGTCCGTCTTCTTGCAGATTTTGGACGATATTATTGTGTTTGCTCTTAAGTAAAACAGACAGCAGGTCAGCTGCTCTAATGTTGACATTCTTTGAGCCTGATATTGTTCGTTAGAATGATGTGTGAAATCCTGGGAAACTTGTTGTTCGTGTGTTTGGTTTGGCTTTTCTGTTCACAATTTTGATAAAATACCTTTGTAGAGCATTCTTCACAAAATAAGTGTGACTTTTCATATTATCATCTCAAATACCTTAAAGGGAAATGATTGGCACACTGTGAAATTCATGAAAAACGGTACAGAAATGTCCAGGTCACGTTTCACTGCAAAATCAAAATAATAAAATAATAAAATATTTTTATTTTATTTTGCATGAAGAAAATGTCCTATTAGGAAATATTTAATATATAACATATTTAAAATGTTTAATATTATATATATATATATCATTATAACATTATTTTTGTGACAATTAATGAATAAAAAAAAAATTCAAAATTTTACATTTAAATTCTCAGTAGCTATACTGTAATGAATTAGGGAAAAATATGTGGGGAAATAAATAAAAATAAATAAAAAGTTTTCATTACTGTAATGCAGTGTGACTTACAAGCTGTGACTTATAAAGTTTAAAAAGAGTAACTTTTCATATTATAATTTCAAATACCTTAAAATGAAATTATCCACACACTGTGAAACTCACGAAAATCGTCCTGAAATGTCCAGGTCATAATAAGAAATAAGAAAAAAAAAGAAAGAAAGAAAAGAAAAATATATATATTTCTTTTTTACATAAAGAAAATGAAACCTATTTTTAGGAACATCTATCTATCTATCTATCTATCTATCTATCTATCTATGTATCTATCTATCTATCTATCTATCTATATATCTGTCTGTCTGTCTGTCTGTCTGTCTATCTATCTATCATGACATTATTTTTTTGAAAATTTATAAAAAAATTCTACATTTTCCATTTAAACCCTCAAATAACCCTAAAAATAATCAGGAGCTTGCTTATAACATAATGAGTAAAAAATATGGGGGAAATTCTCATGTTTATTACTGTAATGCAAACAATTGTGAAGTGCGATTTCCAGATGGAAGGAATGACATTTGTGTTTAAGCACAAATTAAAAATATTAGTTAAAGGCACTGCAATAAAATTTGCTGCTAGCTTTAAAAAATAAGGATCCAATTTATCAGGGCCTGTAGATTTTGTCATGTCCAAATGCTTGAGGGCTTTATTTACGTTTGAATTCGAAATTGAAATTCTCAGGAGCTTTACTATAACATAATGAGTAAAAAATATGGGGGAAATTCTCATGTTTATTACTGTAATGCAAACAATTGTGAAGTGCAGTATTTAGTATTTGGTAGTATTAGTTTCAGTGATTTTTTGAAAATTTATAAAAAAATTCTACATTTTCCATTTAAACCCTCAAATAACCCTAAAAATTCTCAGGAGCTTTACTATAACATAATGAGTAAAAAATATGGGGGAAATTCTCATGTTTATTACTGTAATGCAAACAATTGTGAAGTGCAGTATTTAGTATTTGGTAGTAT